AAAATGTATTGCATTCCAAATGATTAGTATTAACCCTTTCAAGCCAGGCCTGTAAAATAACTTTTGTAGCAGGAGTCATTAGCTACGACACACAACTCAAATTTGCATTGTGTTGGATCATTTATTGATAATGGCAACAAAACATGAACAACAGGAAAAGGGTTGCAGCTCTTCCCCCCACAAAATTTATCTTGCTAAATCAAACCAGTGCATCCTCACCCAGTGTGTAAGCACCCACACTACTAAAACAGTATGGAAAAAAACATAACTAATATAACTTCAATAGTACACACTCAGTGGTGTAAAGAACTAATCTCGCAGATGTGTTACATATTAGAGTCTTGAGCATCCTACTCTGAAACATGTACAGAACATTGTGCATGGCAAACCATGCACTTTACAGCTGCATTTCTTGGAGTTACAAGGAGTTTCTCTCTTGCAGCCACACTGGATCATCTTCAGGATGTAGTCTGGAACAAGTTTGACATCTTCTGGTAGGTGGATTGGGATCACTGCCCTGTTACATGTGTCCTTTTTCCATCCAAATTCCTCTGGGTTCATTGCAGGTGGCTGATTGTTATTGTTATTGATTTCGCCACGAAGTGGGCCCTCGAAGTGGGCCCTCGAAGTGGGCCCTCTTTACATTTTCAGTGAATGCTTCCTTTGAATGCTTCCTTTCACACTTCCAAGCGTACCTGTGGCGAAATCAGTAACAATAACACCTGTTGCTCATGTTTTGTTGCCATTATCAATAAATGATCCAACACAATGCAAATTTGAGTTGTGTGTCGTAGCTAATGACTCCTGCTACAAAAGTTATTATACAGGCCTGGCTTGAAAGGGTTAATACTAATCATGTGGAATGCAATACATTTTCCTGTTTTAGCTTCTCTGCACTGGCTGCCTGTAAAATCCATAATTGATTTAAAATCCTTCTCCTAACCTAGAAAGTTCGAAATGGTCAGTCTCTGTCATATCTTAGAGAGCTCATAGTGCCCTATTATCACACCAGAACACTGTGCTCTGAAAATGCGGGGTTACTTGTGGTTCCCAAAGTCTCCAAAAGCAGAACAGGAGCCAGAGCCTTCAGCTATCAGGCTCCTCTTCTGTGGAATTATCTTCCTGTGTCATCTGGGAGGTAGACACTGTCTCCACATTTTAGACTAGACTTAAGACTTTCCTTTTTGATAAAGCTTATAGTTATGGCTGGCTCAGGCTTGTCTTGGACCAGCCCCTAGTTAGGTTGACATAGGCCTAGTCTGCCGAAGGGACCTCCTGTAATGCACCAAATACTTCTCTCTCTCTCTCCCTAGTTTCTGAAAAGTTGGTTCTTCTTCACTTGCTTACACTCATGTCCTATTAATGCATCTTGCTAACTCAGCCATACTGCATGTCCCTAACTCAGCTTCTTCTCCGGAGCCTTTGTGCTCCACTGTCTCACAGGTTAACTTATATCGCAGCGGTGCCTGGATAGTGTGACGTGTGTGGTTGTGCTGCTGCCGTGGTCCTGCCTGATGCCTCCTGCCGCTGTTATCGTTAGTCATACTTCTACTGTTATCATACACATATGATTATTGGCACATATGTATACTATCATATATTAATATATACTTTCAACGTATTGTACCACAATAGCCATAATTATTATTATAATATTATTACTTTCATTAATGTTGTTGTAAGCTACTGTCATTCCTGTCTGTCCTGCATCTCTCTCTGTCTCTGTCTTATTCTGTCATACAGATTACAGTTAATTATATTATTATTTATTATTATTACAATTATTATGTTGATCTGTTCTGTACGGCGTCTATTGAACGTCTGTCCATCCTGGAAGAGGGATCCCTCCTCA